GTACTTACTAGCTTCTTTCATAATACTGATACCAAAGCCTTTCCAAGATTTTTTGGGTTCAGACAAACTTTTACTCATCTTATCGATTAGAGCATATTCTTTTTCACTAGGATATTTGCAATACAATTTGCTATTCTTCATGTATGTCCATGATATAGGTACAAGATCAATACAATTTTTACTATCAATGGTTTTTTCATCAAATTGTATTACAACATGTGATGTTTTCTTCTTATAATCCATACCTGTTACCAACCATGGAATATTTTAATAAAATAACAAATGTAATATGAAAAAGAAAATTATAACTATAATTATTTAATAATGAAATAAATACCGCATTTGTTTATTATAATTTTAAAATTTATCAATATTTTGTAAAAGTATAGGTGCTTAATTATATAAAATAAATAATCATATATATGGTAGAATTTTGCATGGCTAATTTGATTGACATTTTTTTTCTAATTTAAAATATAATAACTAATAATAATAATAATAATAATAATAATAATTATAAATGATAGAAGACATCATAATAGTTTTAGGAATCATGTAGTAATGTAACTGCATAACTCTGACTACCTTTCTCAAAAAGAACACATTTTTTTACAACATTATTTATTGGAATAATACTTTTTCTTGTACATAATTGACCCAATTTCATTATTCCAATTTCTGTTGATTTGCAAGGATATTTAAAAGCATCAGTAAAACTCTTGTACAAATATCCGTGAAAGAAAATACTACATCGTTTATTCATAATTTTAGTAATGCTAAAAACTTCACCAGAATTCAATTTCACAATATTGTTAGGTTTTTTTGTACTTAACTCAACTCCTTGTAAAATAATGCTTTTTAAATTAACTTTACTTTTAATGTCAGGGTTAACAATGAGACTTTTTTTCTTGCGTATAGCATTCTTTTTAGTCATCCCTGGACATGTTTTCTCTTCAGACATTCTTCTAACCAACTGTGCCAGAGGATTAGTTCTACCACGAATTTGCCTTTTAATTTTGCCGAGAAAATTTTCAAATGGAAATGCAGATATATTTGATAAATTTGTATTTTCATGTTCCACATCATCGGCCAAATGTATTAAGTTATGGCTGTTCATAACTTGTGAATCTGGACCATAAAATGAAGGAAGAAGCTCCACAAATTTCTTTAGTAATTCTTTTGCATAACTCACATATTTGATACACAATTCAGAATCATTTAATATTCTACACGCAACAACTAAAAGTAAAAAGTGATGATACATTTTTTTAGGTAGAATTTTTCGTAGGACTAGAGGTCCACAATAGTTTAAAAAAAAACGAAATTGTGTTGCTTTCCAGTAATTGAATGTGTCCAAGTCTAATTTTTTCCTCTGGAATTCTTTTGGTATATGGTTTACAAATACTTTTAAATTTAAATTTAATTCTTGTATTTTACATCGAGGAAGTTTGCATTTACGATTCACTCTCATCTTAGTACCAATTAATTGCTGTAAAATCCATTTCATTATACCAAGGTACAATAAATGCATGGAATCTAAAAAAACGGAGTACACAGGGTCAAAGTTTGGTATATCAATCAACAATGTTCTTCCATCCAAATGATGCTCAGGTTGACGTTTCCTAATAAAACTCCTCTTGGTGCGTAATTTGGAATTAATACTGGGATAAACTCTTTTTTTATTAACAGTCTTTCCTCTGGTTACACAACGCTCACATGCAAAG